GAAAAGTTGGCAGCACTGGGGAGTGGAGGGGGAAGGGAGAGAAGGGGAAGAGACGAAGAAGGTGTGTAGGGGAAGAAAATGAATTAGGGTTACAGCAATGTTCATTCTACTTTATTAATTTTGAACAGTGTATAATTTTGGGGATGGGGGAAGGAAGGTGGTGGCGGAGCTAGAAACCGGATCAACTCTTTCAAGCATTTTAAGGTTTGAGGTTGGATCATCTCTTTTAAGCACTTTAAGGTTTAAGGTCGAATCATTGAGTTTAAAGGTCCAATTCATTCTACTTTATTAATTATAACAATTAAATTTAGTAATTGATCTCCCATTTAATATTAATTAATTAATGTTCATTGTAAACTTCCAAAAAAATTTTTTGATCACATCCATTCAAATCTCCACCTCACATTTAAAATTTAAAAAATTGAATTAGTTAATGGAAATTTTTGCCACGTCATTGACAGAGGACGAAATTAGTATTGAAAATTGAAATTTAAGGATATTTTTGATATTTTATTAAGTTTAAAAATAAATTTGATATAAATCTAAAAATTGAAAGTCTAAATTGGTATTTTAACCTTAAATTTAACACTTGATTAGCTTTTGTTAGATTACGGATTTATATATGAATTTGAAGAAAATTACATAAATCAGCCCAATAACGATAAAGATTACGTGTTAAACTTTTAGATTGACAGATAATTAGCATTACATGAAATAGTGAAGAAAGAAAGAAAAGTTAGGAGCAACCCATTTTACGCTAGAGATCTCCACATTACTTAATGATCACCAACTTATTTTAAATTCTTTAGAGATATGACTAAACTAATAAGTAATGGAAAGATTAATTTGATTTGAAATAACTAATTAGTTTATTTTGGGGAACTGTATGTAATAATACTTAATAAATTGATCTTAGAAGTATATTAATATTAAATTTTTATTACTTAATTATGATAAAATCAGATGCCTTCGTATCTCATATCTTACATTCTTTTATTTTAAATATTGTTATTTTCTTTTTCTTATTTTTAATTAGAAATTATTTCTTTTTTAATTGGAATAATGATATATACACTTTGCACAGTTACATATTTACCGTTAGTTTGAATAGCACAACTAATGGAAACCGTCAATTTTAACGACATAAATAATGGAAACCGTTAACTTTAACGACATAAATAATAGAAATTGTCAATGAGTAACGGAGTGTGTAACTTTGCAAAGTGTACAAATTATTTCTCTTTCAATTGTTCAAATAAATTCTAGGCATAATTATTTTTGGTATTTAGTTAATCAATAATCTTTATAGGATCGATACTCTACTCTTCATTATATTATTTAAAGCGACTAGAACACTTACTAGAGTAAATTTAGTATATCACTTGTCTTTAGATAAATCCTTTGGATCAATCTCAACCTTAATTTATTTAGTTTTTTGTCATTTTGGCCGTCCTTATATGACTTTGTTAGTATTGCTCTCTAAATTATTGGTATATCATTAGATACTCTTTTCCATTATTAAGTTGGTTTCGTCACTGTTGTCTTTTCATTCTACAATAATAAAGCAAGAATGAAATTAGTTTTACTTTAGCTAAACTCATAACAAAAATGCAATGTCAATAGGATTTATTCTTTGAGCCAAATCCTCGTGTTCACATATAATTGAAAGCATGATATTAGTTTTCAAAACTAGTGATGGGAATTTTTGATAAATAAAGAAGCAACATCGATCTTAGCTAAGGATGTTAGCAGGGCCCCACGGGGCCAAGGACTTCCTCTCCGTCCTCGATTCACGAGGATGGGAATCCCCACAGGGATCTCCATTCTCCACCAATTAATATCAAAATATATATAACATTTCTCCGTTCCCATTTCCCATTCCCAACAGCAGATCTCGACAGCAGCTCCAGGCTCTTCAGGCTCCAACAGTAGATCTCGACAGTAGCTCCAGGCTCCAACAGCAGATCTGCAGTAGCTCAAGGCTTTCCAAGCTCCAGCAGCAGATCCCGACAATAGTTCCAGGCAGCAGGCTCCAGCAGTAAATCCCGACAACAACTCCAGGCTCCAACAGTAGAAGCCAAAAGGGAAGGGGAAAGTCGAAGGTGAGGCCGTGAGAGTGAGTGAGGAGAAACTGCAGAAGCAAAAAGGGAAGGGGAAGGTCGAAGGTGAGGTGAGACTATGAGAGTTTGATTGTCCAAAAGTGAGTGAGGGCTGTGAGGCGTGTGTGCTGCGTGAGTGAGAAAGGGAAATGAATAAGGTTAGGAAATTAGGGTTGGAAGGAGGATGATGGGTTGGGTTGGGTTGGACAAAGTTTAATTTTTATTGAATTGGGTTTGAGTTTGGGTTTGGGTTTGATTTTGAAGATTAAATTAAATTTAAAATATAATTAATTTATATACTTTTTTTTAAAATTTTCGCGGGGATGGGATCCCCATGGAGCCCTACAAGGTGAGGAAAATTTCCCGTGAAATTTCACAGGGAGAAAATTCCCTCCATCCCTGCCCCGCAGGAAGGAATATTCCTCCCCACCCCATCCCTGTAACAAGGATTCCCATAGGGCCCTGCAAAGATCGAGGCAAATTGCTACCCCTAATCTTAGGGAGCACCAATGGCAACAATGTTTGAAACCCCCTTCTTCTTAATTCTCTTGTTCTTGCTTAGGTTCATTTCCAACATTTATCTCTTTCGTGTACGTCAAGCCAAAATATTCCCATTGTCTCTGCCTCACATTAATTTGTACAACTACATAATTTAGTTACAACATTTCTCATCAATAAATTTAGTCACAACATTAACACGTAACCATAGTTTTTATTAGCCCTTTTTTTTACTTGTTAGATTTGTATGAACAAGTTAATATGTATCTTTTTTTTTTTTTTTTGTCACTTAATTGCGAGAAATTATTGTGTAACATGTGTTTGTCAAGAAATCATTATGTGACTTAATTATTTGTGAAAAAGTGTTAACCTAAGATAAGAATTTCATTCTCCCATGCAATAGTAATAAACCTAACTACCTTTAAATACTTCTGTAATGACATAGAGAATGAAATACAGTTCAAATTCTTTCCCTCTTCTCTATGCAAACATGCAATAGCTTCACAATGTTTAAGTTGATATAAGCTCCTTGGACCATCTTAGTTCTTGATTTAGGATAGTAGGAGTTTTGAAGTTAAGAAATAAGCTCTACCTAAATGAATTTATGCTTGTTGAGTTTACACCTTGAATTTCTCAGAAATTTGAAATTTACAAAACTTCCTTTTTTTTTTTTTTAATGTAAAGTCAAATAATTGGGCAGTAAATTAATTTTTGGTTATAAATAATATAAATAGCTCTATTACTAGATGATCCTAAGGAAACATTTCAAATAGTTAATTGTTTAAAACTTTCAATTAGATGTAAGAAGAGATAAAAGAAGGGAAAGATTATTCTATATTATATAACTCATATTCTAAAATACTCTAATACCACACCACATATTGATAGTCCTATACAAAACTTCATTGGCAATAAATTTGATGTCATATATATATAGTAATTGTCCCATAAAGTTGGTGGCTTGGGACCAAAAATCACAAAAAGCATATGTATGCAAGTTGTAGCAAAAATGTATACTGATGAATTGAGTCACATTCAATTAAATCGTTTGACATTTTCTCAGCCCATTTATCTTTGATCTCTTTGCTATCCCTATAAAAATTAAAAAGGACCCTGCCCCGGCCCTCAACTTCAAGCATCGAGCATAAACAAAGGCTACAATGTTTGATACCCACTTCTTAAATTCTCTTCTTCCTGCTCTGGTTCATTTAATTTCCGACATTTATCTTTTCGTGTACATCAAGCCAAAACATTCCCATTGTCTCTACCTAACATTAATTTGTACAACTACGAAATTTAGTTATGACATCTTTTTAACAATAAGTTTAGTTCCAACATTGATGTAACCATGGCTTTTATTAGATTTTTTTTTTTTTACTTGTCTGATTGTGTGAGTGAGTCAACATACTCCTATTTTTTGATGTCATGTAGTTGTGAGAAATTATTGTATAACAAACCGTTTGTCAAGAAATTATTATATAGGTAAGTTAATTATTAATTGGTGAATGAGCACTAACCTAAGACAAGAATTAATTTCATTCTCCCATGCAATGGTGGTAAACCTAACT